GAAGGCTTGAGAGCAGCCATGACACATCAGCTCTCCGACAGAGGATTGAGTGAGTAGACCTGCACCCCCTGGGCCAGAAAAGGGAAGGAAGCTGTAGGAAACTGGATTAGCTTGCTACCCGGGACTGTCTTCTATTTAAAGTGACAGGTACTGGATCCCCTGCACAGGGGAGTATTTGGGGTCTGGGGTGGTACACCAGGAGATGCTGGCTAGTTCTCCAAAAGATAATTTTTGTTGTCTAAATAGACTACATAGTTCCAGAGAGATTGTCCTCAGTTGCTATTCCCTTTAGGAATCACATACATCCCTTACACCATCCAAGTTCAATTCACCTAATAAAATCCACAAAACCAAGCTCAAAGACTGGTTACGGTCTCCTGGATGCAAGTTTATAGGGAGACCCAAAACTCAGCAACTCCTATGGGGGATAGTGCTACTTGTACAACTATTATGTTGAGGGAGACCTAGATAGCATACCATTTAAAAATACTTCTTTTCAGTTTTTGTTTTACACTAACAAAAACAAGTCGGGGGATCATATTGATTCTACAGATGAAGATTAATTTTAAGGATTTCTAGAGCAGAGGAGCTGGCTTGATGAACACTTGCATGTCCTATCTGCCACTCCAACCCCACGCCCCTCTCCTGTGCCATCAATTTAAAAAAAAAAAACAACTTATACGCAGATGTGCCAATTTCTTTTCCTTATGTTTGGGAACTGGAAGAGACTGGAAGTGCATTTGCGCATATGTGGAGGGTTCCCACATTCCACCTTCTAGTAATGGGGCACTATAGTTGACTTGTGTTCAAGTATTTTAGTTAGAAATAAAACATGTACAAGGTCAGATCACATAAAAGATAATGAACAGTTTGTGATGTAAAGCGTCTTACAGAGAAAAACAATGACACAATATCATATGACAAATGAGACAAGTTGTCCTTTGAGAAGATAAAATAATGATTGTGAACCAACTGGTAGGAACCCATGCTGTAGAGGTAATTGGTAAAAATTGGGACTATCTAAAGACAGGTGAATTCCAAAGTAATTTCATGAGAAGAAAAGGGTGACCTCAAGTGAATCAGTTGGCTGAAGAAACTTGAGGATAAGATTTCAGTAGGTCGAGGCTCATACTGGCTGTGTCAGAATGCTTTGGATTGTAGAGGAAGTTAAAAGAGGTGTCCAGAGACATCAAAGGAATTTAGGAGGAAGAGGGAAAGAGCAGAGCAGGAGAGATGAAAGGCAAAAGGAAGAAGGGGGGGGGGGGGGGGGAATAACCAGTAATTGGTTGGGAGGGGGGGCAGAGTCCCCTGGGAGGTGAGAGGTGGCAAAGGGGGGTTTCCCCATGGGGTAGCTGGGCTTTTAGTGGAATGCAGCAATCCTGACCCTTGTGTTCCTGATCCCTGCATCCTGTGCAATATGCAGTCCTGACTCCTGCACTCTGTATTACATACCCATGAGCCCTGCACTTTGTGCTTTATTTTCCTATTTTTCTCTGGCTGAACCCCCCCCCCCAAGAAAAAAATTATCTGCAGCCCTGGAAATGATGGAAACTTTAAAACCTGAATACATTAAGGGTGTGAATAATGTTTAGGAGGGCAGTATTTTCAATATAAAACTAAGATTAATGGGACATGACCTCAAACTACAGAAGTAGGAGAAAAGTTTAAAACTAATCTTAAAAAGTACTATTTAACAGAAAAAGTAGTTGATGCTGGGAATAGATTCCAGCATGGGTGGTAAGTCAGTCAACAGTGGATGGATCCAAACATGCTTGGGAAAACCTAGATCTATGCTCAGACAAAAAAAAAAGAAAACGAAAGAATCAAAATAAGAAAAATAAGTGGGGCAGACTAAATGGACCACTTGGTCTTTTTTTCCGTGGTCATTCTTTTATGTTTATACCTTCATTCTTGATCACTTTTTGTTTTACTGTTGTATTCTTGATGCTTTTCTTTTGTAATATCCTTTTCTATGAATATTGCACCATTTTTAATTTTTTATTATGAATTGATCTTTTTTAAAATATAGAACTATCATTAATTTACTAAGCAAAAACTTAAAAGAATCCTTGGGGTTGATTTACTAAAACTGGAGAGTTCAACATTTGCTGCAGCTCTGCATCAGCTGCCAGTTTGTTTTTACAAATCATAATTGAACAAGCTGCAGTTAGAAGTGGATTGGCTACCTTGCACAGCTGCACTAGATATTGCACTCTCTAGTTTTAGTAAATCAACCTTCTTGTTTCTTTAAAAAGGGCTGCCATAGTCTGAACCTCTGAATTATCCCTGTCTGCGGGGCAGCTGATATTATATACCGTATTTGCCGGCGACTGGGTGTATAAGACGTATACAGTATACATTGGGCCAATCACGGTGAGCGATGTATTCTACTAATGAATACAAAACCTGCTCAGATTGGCTGAGGTTGTGACATCATCAGCCCACCTCTCTGACTCAGCCAATCCGAGCAGGCTTTGTATTCATTAGTAGAATACATCACTCGCCATGATTGGCCCAGTGTATACTGTATGTAGCCGCAGCTACCGTACATACACGCATCCAGCGGGCTGATTACAGTAGGGACGTACCGGTACATTTTGAAACCGCTTGGCTCAGCGCAGTATACTGTATATAACGCACATCCAGCGGGCTGACAGATTAATCTGTCATAGGGACATTTGTTTTCAGCCAGCTTGGCTCAGCGCGGTATACTGTATGTACAGTATTACCACACATCCAGCCAGCTTGACCCAAACAAACTCAAGGTTCACATTTTATACCCCGCATATAAGACGACCCCCAATTTTTGTGGTATATTTTTAAGTATAAAAAGTAGTCTTATATGCCAGAAAATACTGTACATTTCTTTAATGGTCAGACTTCTTACAGTGATTAAAGCAGCGCTCCACCCAAAAGGGGAATTTCTGCTTTAAGGCCTTGTCCCCCACTCCCTGTTAAGGATTGGCACCTTTGGGGGGCAGGGGTGGGGAGTGGGTACTCAATTTTGACAGGTACCCGCTCTCACTTCCACTGCAATAGCTTAGGCGAATGGAAGTGGATGTTCCACCCTAAAAAAACTGGTGGAACATGTACTGTAACATGTTCCCAAAGGTGAACGTATCTACTTTGGGTTCCTACATGGATGACTTTTAGTTTACTAAAGCTCTGTGTATCATAAATAGCTGCTATTTTTTCCTATGTTTTAATTTTTTTTTGTTTTGCCCTTTTTTGTATCTTACTGCTGCTTATTACCTCTGCCTTTGAAACTGCTTCCATTGCTTGGGAAGGAGATTTGAATGGCCATTCATAGTCTCCACTTAAAACGTAACTTCACCCAAAAAGAAGTTCTGCTTTAAGGCTTCTTCCCCCGCTCCTGTTTAAGAAATGGCACTTTTTTTTTGGCAGGAGGAGTGGGTAACTGGTTTTGACAGGTACCCGCTCTGACTTCCACTCTGACCGCCTAGGTGATGTAAGCAAGTTCTCCTCCCACCCCTCCTCCCAGTCTTCTGGGACACGTCACAAGTCCCAGAAGACTGCAGGACCATTCACAGTATGCAGTGCGGCTCGTGCATGGGCAGTGGGCGCCCAGCTGTGAAGCTGCAAGCTGTCACAGCCTGGTGTCCACAGTTTAGATGCTGGCACCGGGGTCCAAAGACGGTGGAGAAAATGACTTGGGTGAACACAGCCCTGAATCCTGGAACAGGTAAGTGTCTGTTTATTAAAAGTCAGTAGCTACAGTTTTTGTAGCTACTAACTCTTAATTTTTACACATATGCCTGGAGTTCCTCTTTAAAATAAATGAGACAAAGTGACAACTCAAGAAAGCACTAGGCCAACATGGAAGTGCCTGAACAAGGGTCTGCATGGCAGGCTCAACAGGTATTTTTTTATTAAAAGCTGCGGATTTAAAAGAACTGTAAATTGCTTTTTAATTACATTAGCACATTCAAAATAAATTTGATTTTTAGTGGTTAAGTTTAAATTTAATTAAATATGACACATTTGCCATGTCTGTGTTTTTCTAATTAATCTGTCCAAAAATATTCAACTAGAAGCGACCTATAAGATAGCAGTGTTAGAACTCGTGTGGTAGATTTTATAAGCCATGAAGCACTGTTTTGGAAAAAGTACAAAAGAGAGAAAATAGACTGTGAAATGTTAATTGCATGTTCCCTATTTCAACAGACTGAGGAAGTAATCCTCATCTACACTCATGAGCACTTCATAGGTTGCTCCATATCCCGCTGCTCCTCTTTAATCTCCAACACAGGGTCCGGTGATTTCATTACTTTCTCTGTCATTTCTTACTTACTCATTTTCTCTTGGAACTTCCATTGCATATATTCGAACACAGTGACCTTTACAGAGCAGGAAACATTTATTTTTATTATTGCCGTGCTCTTGTATTATTTATTTCCACATCATTACTATTAAAAATAGCTTCCAGTTACAGTAAATCGCTTTGCTAAACATGACTATTTATCTGATTGTCATAAGATGACAGGACAAGTGATGATGGAGCAAAGATGCTAAATATCAGGTGCTTATTGTCTGGAGATAGTGAAAAACGTATTGTGGATTCTTATCTATCCATCTTAAGATGAAGATAGGGATAGGTTGCCCTTTAAGATAAAACAGAGTAGTAAAGTACTGCATGAATATTAAACTGACCCTATTATTACTTGGGATGAGCTTAAGGTTCGGTCTGAACACAAGTTTGGACTGAATATTGGCTGTTCGAATATTTGAAGGAACACCTAAAGACTTATCTGTTCAGCAGAAGCTGAACATTAGAGATGAGCGAATTATTCAAAAATTCGATTCAGCTGATTCGCCGAATTTGCGGAATAAATTTGATTCGATGCGAATTTATTCGCTGCGAATTTAACTTATTAAAAGGGTTTCTAGGCTTCAGAGAGCCTTTATATTAGTGCAGAACACTGTACCTTTAATTTAAATGCCCTTGGAGTCTGCTGGGGAAGAGAAATAATACTGACAGTCAGTATGACATGCAGATGAGTGCCGTCGATCTTAGAATCACCGCACACTTCACTCATTTGGGCAGTCACGGGGCCAAAACCAGAGTGTGGAGCCACAGTGTGGCGGTGGAGGCAGCAGCAATGGGAGGCCATACAGCACCCTATGACAAAATGGAACCCACCAGCAGTGTGAGGAGACCTGAAAGTGGCACATGGCAGAGTGTGGCGATGGAGACAGCAGCAATGGGAGGCCGTACAGGGACCCATGACACACTCTGGACCTGGCAGCAGCATGAGGAGGCGGTACAGGGGCCCATGGCAGAGTGGCGAAGCGTAAGCAGCTTAAATTAAAGGCCATACAGAGGCCTATGTTAAAAAGTCCCCCCAGCAGCAGCGTGGGGAGACGACTATCAAGAGTCCAATGGCAGAGTGGCGGAGCGGAAGCAGCTTCAATTGAAGGCCAATAGTGGTTGTGAAGCAGAGAAAGTCAGTTTATTGTACACAATCGGTCAATTGCAGCTTGCCGTTGGCTGGAAACTGTACGTTTGTGTCACTGGAATGCACTAATCCACACCCAAAAAATATTACCGCCAGCTGGCGTGTAAATGGATTTAACTCTTTGAACGTACAATAGTGGTTGTGAAGCAGAAAGTCAGTTTATTTTGCACAATCGGCAAACTGCAGCAGCACCAACTGTGCACGACAGCCACCAAAAAAAAAAAGGGGTATGTCACTTTAAATTTTCGATTCTTTGATAGCTGTGGCCCTAAGTAACGATTCTGTGTCCCTGAGTAACGATTCTGTGTCCCTGAGTAACAATTTCTGTGGCCCTAAAGTCTCTGTGGCCCTAATGCAGGCCATAGATGGGTCGAAAATCGGCCGATTTTTTCGGCCGAAAATAAAATTGGCCGATTTTCGGATCGTTAGTGGGCTATTTGGTCGGCCGTTTTTTTCGGTATTATTTGGCCGTTTTTTTTTCTGTAAAGTTGAAAAAAAAATTGGCCGATTTTGCCGATCGGCCCGATTTTCGCGGCAATAGTCGGCAAATCGGACGATTTTTTGCAGATAAAAAATCTGCGCATGAGCAGTGACCTGCAAGAGGAAGAAAAAGAAAAAAGAAGAAGAGGAAGAATGAGAAGAGAGAGGAAGAAGAGAAGAGAAGAAGAGGATGAAAAAGAGAAGATGAGAGAAGAGAAGAAGAAGAAGAAGAAGAAGAAGAGGAGGAGGATGAGGAAGAAGAAGAAGAAGAAGAGAGAGGAGGAGAATGAAGAAGAAGAGGATGAGGATGAAGAAGAAGAAGAAGAGGATGAGGATGAGGAAGAAGAAGAAGAAGAAGAGGATGAGGATGATGATGAAGAAGAAGAGGATGAGGATGAAGAAGAGGATGAGGATGAAGAAGAAGAAGAGGATGAGGAGAGAAGAAGAAGAAGAAGAAGAAGAGGATGAGGAGATGATGAAGAAGAAGAGGAGGGATGAGGATGAAGAAGAAGAAGAAGATGAGGATGAAGAGAAGAAGAAGAAGAAGGATGATGATGATGAAGAAGAAGAGGATGAGAAGAAGAGAAGAAGAAGAAGAAAGGATGGATGATGAAGAAGAAGAAGAAGAGGAGAAGAGGATGAGGGATGAAGAAGAAGAAGAAGAAGAGGATGAGGATGAAGAAGAAGAAGAGGATGAGGAAGAAGAAGAAGAGGATGAGGATGAGATGATGAAGAAGAAGAGGATGAGGATGAAGAAGAGGATGAGGATGAGATGAAGAAGAAGAGGAGATGGTGAGGAAGGATGAATGGAAGAAGAGAAGATGATGAGGATGATGAAGAAGAAGAAGAAGAAGAGGAGGATGAGGATGAAGAATGAAGAAAAAGAGAGAAGAAAGGATGGAGAGAGGATGAGGATGAGGAGAAAAGAAGAGGATGAGGATGAAGAAGAAGGAAGAAGAAGAAGAAGAGGAAGAGGAGAAGAAAGAGATAGATGAATGAAGAAGAAGAAGAAGAAGAGGATGAAGGATGAAGAAGAAGAAAAAAAGAAGAGGATGAGGATGAAGGAAGGAAGAATGAAGAAGAAGAAGAAGAAGTAGAGTGAGGATAGGATGAAGAAGAAGAAGATGAGGATGAAGATGAAGAAGAAGAAGGAAGAGATGAGGATGAAGAAGAAGAAGAAGAGAGAAGAAGAAGAGGATGAGGATGAAGAAGAAGAAGAAGAAGAAGAAGAAGAGGAGGGAAGCAAAAGAAAAGAAGAAGAAGGATGAGGATGAAGAAGAATGAGGATAGAAGAAGAAGAGGATGATGCGGTGAGAAGATGATGATGAAGAAGAAGATGGATGATGATGATGAAGAAGAAGAAGAAGAAGGATGAAGAAGAAGAGGATGAGGATGATGAAGAAGAAGATGAGAGATGAAGACGAAGAGGAGGAAGTATGAAGGAAAATGAGGAATGTAGATGAAAAGAAGAAGAGATGAAGGAGAAGAGGAAGAAAGATGATGAGGAATGAAGAAATATAGAAGGTATGAAGAATCCTAAGAAAAAAAGAAGAAGAAGAGGATGAGGAAGAAAGAAAATGAAGAAGAAGAAGAGGATGAGATGACAGAAGAAGAAGAAGAATGAGGACGCAAAAGAGAGAAGAGAATGAAGATATAGAATGGAGGATGAAGAAGAAGAAGATGATGAGATGAGGAAGAGAAGAAAGAAGAAGAAAAGAGGAGAGGCCAGAAGAATGAAGATGAAGAATGAAGAAGAAGAAAGATGATAGGATGATGAGAAAAGAGAAGAAGAAGATGAGGATGAAGAATGAAGAAGAGAGGAAGAGGATGAAGAAGAAAGTGGATGAGGATGAAAAGAATGAGGAGAGTGAGAGGAAAAAGAAGAAGAAGAAGAAGAGGATGAGGATGAAGAAAGAAAAGAAGAGGATGAGGATGAGAAGAAGAAGAAGAAGAGAAGAAGGAAATGAGGTGAGATAGAAGAGTTAAGATCGAGGATGAAAAAGATGAAGAAGAAGAGGATGAGGATGAAGAGAAGAAGAAGAAGAGAAGAAGAAGGAAGAAGAAGAAGGAAAGAAGAGGAAGAGAAGTGAAGAAGAAGAAGATGAAGAGAGAGGATGAGGAAGAAGAAGAAGAAGAAGAAAAGATTGAGGATGAGGAAGAAGAAGAGGAATGATGAATATGAAAGAAGAAGAAGGATGAGGATGAAGAAGTAAATGAAGAAAAGAAGAAGGAGTAGATGAGGATGAGGAGGAAGAAGAGAAGAAGAAGAAGAAGAGGATGAGGATGAAGAAGAAAAGAAGAAGAAGATGTGAAGAAGAATGATGAGGATGCAAGAAGAAAATGGAGAAAGATGTAGGAGGATAAGATTGAAGAAGAAGAAGAAGAGGATGATGGTGAGGTAAGAAGAAGAAGAAAGAAGAATGAGGATAAAGAAGAAAATTGAATGTAGAAGAGGATGAGGATAGGAGAGAAGAAGAAGAAGAGGATGAAGAAGAGGATGAAGTAGAAGAAGATGAAGAAGAAGAAGAGGATGAGGATGAAGAAGAGAGAGAGGAAGAGAAGATGAAGAGGATGAAGAAGAAGAAGAGGAGAGGATGAGGATGAAGAAGAAGAAGAAGAAGAGGATGAGGATGAAGAAGAAGAAGAAGAAGAAAGAAGAGGATGAGGATGAAGAAGAAGAAGAAGAAGAAGAAGAAGAAGAAGAAGAAGAAAAAGAAGTAGGATGAAAATAAGAAGAATTCCAGTCCAGTAAAAAGTGTATCTGCAGAGAGCTCCGCTATTTCTGACAGTTCTCTGACAGTTCCTTCACATTTACAGCGGTTGAAACATTGTATCTATTTGTTTCCGAATAAAAACATCTGTATCCTAAATGGAAACAAATAGATACAATGTTTCAACCGCTGTAAAATGTGAAGGAACTGTCAGAGAACTGTCAGAAATAGCGGTCTCTGCAGAGACACTTTTTGCCGGCTGTAGAAGGGATGAAAATCGGCCGATCGGGGAAAATTTGATTCGTGCATCCGAAGTTTGCTAATTTTCGGATTCGGCACGAATCGAATTTTTCCTAATATTCGAAACGAATTCTACTTCGCCAAGTTCGATTCGCTCATCTCTACTGAACATCATGTATAATTGCAGGGCCCGAGTGCATTGTGGCTTTCTGTCTGGCGGTATTACTATACTACTGTTATTATATATGACAGCTTCCCACTGGTAATGTTTGTTAAGGACACCAACGGGTGCAAGAACTGCCTAGTCCTTAGCAACCAGTTACATACCTGTCCTTTACTTACATGGCCGGGAATCCCTAATCAGATATCTGGGGACCTCCTTATCCTAAAAGGGGATTCGATTTGGATAATCCCCCCGTGTTTCCACAGCCACAAGGCCAGAGTTGTTACATGTATAGCAAAAAGTGAGATATAAACATGCTATTAATTCACAAAAACCATTCCAGGGAGGGTAGGAATACCAGTGGTAGAGGGAAGGTACCAGTGGTAAAAATCCTATAAAAGAAGTAAAAGTCTCATATTTGGACAATGCAGTCTCCTGGGATGGTGACTTACTACCTTTCTTACAATGTGAAACAAGCAGGTGGGCACAAAGTTATTCATTTAGTGGTGGTAGTGATACTCACAGTCTGATGGAGCCAAAAGCTCATCCCTTTTGTTACTGCCCATTTGTTGCCCATGTAATGTCACAAATGATGTTTATTGCTCATGTATTGCCAAAACTACCTACCGTATTTTCCGGCGTATAAGACGACTTTTTAACCCCTGGAAATCTTCTACAAAGTCGGGGGTCGTCTTATACGCCGGGTGCTGGGCTGAAACCTTACCGTACTTCCGTGCTGACGCTTCTGCGCATGTCTTCGGCAGCAGTAGACGATCGCGGATCACCATAGCTCGCAGAACTGCATGAGACGTCGGATGCAGCAGTGCTCGATTGAGCTTGACTGAAACTGTGATATGCAGAGAAGGGATACACATCGGGTAGCGGCTTCTGCGCATGTCACAGTTTCAGTCACGATCAATCGAGCACTGAACGGCTGCATCCGACGTCTCATGCAGTTCTGCGAGGAATGGTGATCAGCGATCGTCTACTGCTGCCGAAGACATGCGCAGAAGCGTCAGCTCGGAAGTACCGGTATGGTACTGCTGCATCCGACCTTGTCCCCTTCATTTCTATGAAATACGGTAATTAATTATTAATATTATAATGTGGCAGTTTTGTGCAATTTATGGTACCGCTCGGATCATCTTGGAGACAGGCAGGGCTGGGCAGGCAGGGAGAGCTGACCCACCCAATCCAAGCAGGCTTTGTATGCAGTGTGCACAGAAAATAC